GAGGAAAGGCTGCGGGAAATGCACCTCACGACACTGGAAGACAGAAGAGTAAGGGGAGACATGATCACTAGAAAATTAGAGAGAACTTTTTCAGTGTCAGAGTAGTTAACAGGTAGAATGCACTAGGCAGTGATGTGGTGGAGGCTGACTCCATACACAGTTTTAAATGTAGATATGATAGAGCCCAGTAGGCTCAGGAATCTGTACACCAGTTGATTGACAGTTGAGAGGCGAGACCAAAGAGCCAAAGCTCAACCTCCACAAGTGCAAATAAGTGAGCGGAAAAGTATATGTTTATCTCTCAGAATGTTCGGTAATATGTTTATTGCTTGTGATGTGTATCTATGTATGTATTAACACGATGTACTGAACGGGGTGAGAATAGCTTGAGCTACCTCATCCCTTTGTGTGTATTTTACCTCAATAAACTTTTTTCAATTTCAATTTCGATTTCAATTACGGCCACATACGGGGCCACATATGGGGCCGGTGGCTGTGTGGATAGCACGCCGGACACGTAATCCTGAGGCCCGGGTTCGATTACCGGCGCCGGCGAGAAACAAAAATGGGCAGAGTTTCTTTCACCTTGATGCCCCTTTTACCTAGCAGTAGATAGGTACCTTGGAGTTAGGTAGCTGTTACGGGCTGCTTCCTGTGTGTGTGTGTGTGTGTGTGTGTGTGTGTGTGTGTGTGTGTGTGTGTGTGTGTGTGTGTGTGTGTGTGTGTGTGTGTGTGTGTGTGTGTACTCACCTAATTGTACTCACCTAATTGTGCTTGCGGGGGTTGAGCTTTGGCTCTTTGGTCCCGCCTCTCAACTGTCAATCAACTGGTGTACAGATTCCTGAGCCTACTGGGCTCTATCATACCTACATTTGAAACTGTGTATGGAGTCAGCCTCCACCACATCACTTCCTAGTACATTCCATTTATTAACTACTCTGACACTGAAAAAATTCTTTCTAACGTCTCTGTGGCTCATCTGGGTACTAAGTTTCCACCTGTGTCCCCTTGTTCGTGTCCCACCCGTGCTGAAGAGTTTGTCTTTGTCCACCCTGTCAATTCCCCTGAGAATTTTGTAGGTGGTTATCATGTCTCCCCTTACTCTTCTGTTTTCCAGGGATGTGAGGTTCAGCTCCTTTAGCCTTTCCTCGTAGCTCAATCCTCTCAGTTCCGGGACGAGCCTGGTGGCATACCGCTGAATCTTCTCTAACTTTGTCTTGTGTTTAACTAGGTATGGACTCCAGGCTGGAGCTGCATACTCCAGGATTGGTCTTACATAAGTGGTATACAGGGTTCTGAAAGATTCCTTACACAAGGCAGTTCTTATGTTGGCCAGTCTAGCATATGCCGCTGATGATATTCTTTTGATGTGGGCCTCTGGGGACAGGTTCGGTGTGATATCAACCCCCAGATCCTTCTCTCTATTTGATTCTTGCAGGATTTCCCCTCCCAGATGATACCTTGTGTTCAGCCTCCTGCTCCCTTCGCCTAATTTCATCACCTTACACTTTCCAGAGTTGAACTTCAGCAGCCATTTTCTAGACCATTCCTCCAGTTTATCCAGGTCATCCTGTAGTCTCTGTCTATCTTCATCCGTCTTGATTCTTCTCATAATTTTTGCATCATCAGCAAACATCGAGAGGAATGAGTCTATACCCTCTGGAAGATCGTTCACATATATTAGAAACAGGATGGGTCCAAGTACTGAGCCCTGTGGGACTCCGCTGGTGACATCTCGCCACTCTGATGTCTTCCTTGGCATTCTCATTGACCACAAGCTGAATTTCCAGGGACACATTCTAAACATATCAAAAAAAGTTTCAAAAACTGTGGGCATTCTTTCTAAGATCAGATATTATGTACCACGCCCTGCCCTGGTGACTCTCTATTACTCCCTTATCTATCCATATCTCAACTATGGTATTTGTGCTTGGGGCTCTACTACCCAAAATCACTTACGTCCTCTAATTACTCAACACAAAGCTGCTATTAGGACAATATCCAACTCTGGCCCCAGACATCACTCGGTACCCCTACTCAAATCTCTGAATATGTTAGACATTAAGTCACTGCACATTCACTCATGTGTATTATACATATACAAAACGCTAAATTGTAATGCCAATCCTGATCTCAAAAGCTTCATAGAAGGTTGTAACAGAACCCATGAGCACCACACCAGAAATAAATACAGTTTTGATATTCCTAGAGTACGACTTAATCAAACCAGAAATGCTCTACAAATCAAGGGGCCCAGGATGTGGAATGACCTTCCCAACCATGTTAAAGACAGTACCTCTCTCAACCAGTTTAAGTTAAAAACGAAGCTATACCTAATAAATTCCATGTAACCTACCTTACCCTTCTATTGTCAACCCATGTATGTTTTTTTTTTTTTTTTTTTTTTACAAATCAACGCTGTTTTAATGTAATTTTCTGTAATAATTTATAATTGTATTTGTGCTGTTTTTTCAACAATGTTCCCCCCCTCTTTTACCTCTATTTTTATTTGTACTCAACGCATTTTTTTCTTTTTACCCATTAGTTTTAAGCTTTAGTCAGTAGTGTTTTTTCCTGCCCGAAACGCTTTGCGTAATAGTGGCTTTAGGCATTGTATGTACTAGCTCTATCTATAAAGCCAACAAACTTTGTAAAATCTCTTTATGTATGTACCTTTGCCTAAATAAAAATTATTATTATTATTATTATTATTATTCCCCCTCACCGTTACTCGCTGTTTCCTGTTGCTTAAGTACTCCCTTATCCACTGGAGCACCTTCCCTTTTACTCCTGCCTGTTGCTCCAACTTTTTAAACAGCCTTTTATGGGGTACTGTGTCGAAGGCTTTTTGGCAATCCAGGAAAATGCAGTCGGCCCACCCTTCTCTTTCCTGCCTAATTTTCGTTGCCTGGTCATAAAATTCTATTAACCCTGTGAGGCACGATTTACCATCTCTGAACCCATGTTGGTGGTGCGTTACAAAGTTATTTCCCTCCAGATGCTCTACGAGCCTTTTCCTCACGATCTTCTCCAGCACCTTGCATGGTATACAAGTTAAGGAAACTGGCCTGTAATTCAGTGCCTCTTGCCTGTCACCCTTTTTGTATATTGGGACCACGTTAGCTGTCTTCCAACTTTCTGGTAAGTCTCCTGTTTCCAGTGACCTGTTATACACCATAGAGAGTGGCACACTTAGTGCTTCTGCACCTTCCTTTAGTATCCACGGTGAGATTCTGTCAGGCCCAACAGCCTTTGTCACATCTAGCTCCAGCAGACACCTTTTGACCTCATCACTGGTGAGGTCACACACTGGTGTGTGTGTGTGTGTGTGTGTGTGTGTGTGTGTGTGTGTGTGTGTGTGTGTGTGTGTGTGTGTGTGTGTGTGTGTGTGTGTGTGTGTGTGTGTGTGTGTGTGTGTGTGTGTGTGTGTGTGTGTTGTGTGTGTGTGTGTGTGTGTGTGTGTGTGTGTGTGTGTGTGTGTGTGTGTGTGTGTGTGTGTGTGTGTGTGTGTGTGTGTGTGTGTGTGTGTGTGTGTGTGTGTGTGTGTGTGTGTGTGTGTGTGTGTGTGTGTGTGTGTGTGTGTGTGTGTGTGTGTGTGTGTGTGTGTGTGTGTGTGTGTGTGTGTGTGTGTGTGTGTGTGTGTGTGTGTGTGTGTGTGTGTGTGTGTGTGTGTGTGTGTGTGTGTGTGTGTGTGTGTGTGTGTGTGTGTGTGTGTGTGTGTGTGTGTGTGTGTGTGTGTGTGTGTGTGTGTGTGTGTGTGTGTGTGTGTGTGTGTGTGTGTGTGTGTGTGTGTGTGTGTGTGTGTGTGTGTGTGTGTGTGTGTGTGTGTGTGTGTGTGTGTGTGTGTGTGTGTGTGTGTGTGTGTGTGTGTGAAAAAAGTAGTTAGAAACAATTGATTGATTGACAGTTGAGAGGCGGGCCAAAAGTGCAGAGCTCAACCCCCGCAAGCATAACCAGGTGAATACGCAGACACAGACAAACACACACACAGAGGAGCCTCTCGGCAGAGTGGACAGCACTCGGGGGTCGTATTCCTAGGTCCCGGGTTCGATTCCCGGCTGGGAATCGAAATTGTACTTAAATATATTAAATACAATTTCAATTTAAAATTAAAGTTATATATAATACAGTCTACCATGTTACAAAATGGTTTTCTTCTATAAGGTTAATAAAGAAAATTGAATATAAATATTCACACGAAAATTTACCAAGGTAAACTATTGTAAATACATTTGAGACCGGAGTAACATCAGACCTTAGACGTAATATTGAAAATTAGCATAGTCGAATCTAGCGATGAGGTTATATACAAGTGACTTTGTAGGACTAATGTAAAATATGCCTAAGTTATGCCTCACTATCCACTCTTTCAGGTTATAATATACTATTTTGGCCCCATCAACAGCGATATATATATATATATATATATATATATATATATATATATATATATATATATATATATATATATATATATATATATATATATATATATATATATATATATATATATATATATATATATATATATATATATATATATATATATATATATATATAAGGGTATAAGAGTCTTATACCCTTATAATATAAGGGTATAAGAGTCCTTTTATATATATAAGGTATAAAAGGGTATCACCTCTCTGGTGCAATTGTAGGGACCCACATCCTCGAAGAAGAAAATAAACAGTATTCCGGGAAGACCTTGGGGATTCTCACTGAACACTTTAATCTTTTCCTCTCCTACCAACCCTATTCTTTTTGTTATTATTTTTTGTTTTATTTTATTTTATTGCTGCTACAGATTATAGAGAACACACACACACACTTATATAACAATATAACAATCAGTGTTCTAAGACCTCGTCCAGCTCTTCGGGGGTCGGGTGCGTACCCAGGATACAGCACGCATTTCCCCTCTGAACTGCGACACTGAGGCGCTGGAACAGGAAACTGGCTGCTCTTGAGTCTTTCGTTTTCCCAATGAGATCCTCACCCACCTCCTTTAGGAACTCTAGTGCACATTTAGCCCAGGCGCCCAGAGTCTCAGAGCCTATTGGCACGATCCCGTAGCAACATTCTAGGTCCCTGTACTTGTTAGTTTTCTGGGTCTCCCTGAAGGTGGCTGTCCCACCTCCCTCGGCTATACTGCAAGGTAGATATGTATCAACCAAGGTAAATGCACATGTGTAGCCCCATACGACCTGTTTACCATACCTCCATGGCTGCAGGGTGACTCCATCTGGGCGTTTGTTACTGTTGTCAGGTCTGCACAACTGGGGTTCCCTTTGTGCTGGACACCCAGCTGTAGCCAAACTTCTCTTGATGTCATTGACTGCTTCATGTCTGGCAATCTTTCCCGGTGACTTACGACAGATAAGACCATGGCTGCTGTATTGGTCCGTGTGCGCATAACCGCAAATACACCGGTGCTCGGTGGAGATACGGGCGGCAAAGCACAAGGCAACACCAATACTTAAGACCCGATGGTCCAGGCAGGTGTCTAAGGCGGAATTAGGGACAACCAACAGGAAATCCCCAGCATGGGGGGCTTGCACAACTAGGAGACGCAATCCGTCCTTTCCAGATGCTACCTTCAGCAATGCTGTGGCAATATTCTCCACTATGGGGCTGTCCCATTTGCCCTGTTTGCCGTCGTTTGGAAAAAAATGGTCGAGGGTGAGAGTTGGCAAGAGTGTCCCACTGACCAGCTCCGTCCGCGAATTTGAGATCATTAATCTCAATGGAGTCTCTTAGGTATCCTGGTAGTATTTCATTCACTAATTCACCTGTAGCACTGATCGAGGATAAGAATGCCGGCAATGCTAACTGTGTCGCCTTGCGAATACCTATACCCCCGAGTCTAACTGGGAGCGTTGCTTGGTCCCATTGGTCATCTTGCAGGGAGAGGTTTAGCACTTTTATGGCTTTTATTTTAGGAGCGCGTTATATTCTGTTAATTTTGGGCTGTCGAAGGAGAGGGCACACCTTAGGAAATAGGTAAGTCTGGGCAAAGCCAGGCACCTTGTGAGGAGGTACACAGCATCGTGGGCATCTAAAGCCCCTATTCTTTCCTCCGTCTTCCTCAGGTCGTTCAGCTTTTCTTCAAGGACTACCTCAATGGCGCTTGAGCCCAGAGGTGCCCCTAGCAGCACACTGTTGGTGAGAGTGATCATTGGTGCTCCTGGCAGCTCGGTTCGTACTGCATCTATGATTGGTTAGCTAGATGAGATGATTTCACACCTTGAAGGGTTTAGGGTGAGTCCTAATTCCTCTCCCTTAGATTTCACCAGCTGTAGATCTTCTAGCAGGGACTCCTGTGTCCCTGCTCAACCCATTCTCGCACTTTCGTATAGTCAATATTGACTTATTAAATACGTGCATATGTGACATACTAAACATACTAGTTTACCATGAAAAGCTTCATAGAAAACACCGACCTTACCTAACCTTCTTAGTATGTTAAGATAAGCATCTTATTGCTTCGTAATTACAATTATTACTTAACCTATTATAGGTATAGGTTAAGTAATAATTGTAATTACGAAGCAATAAGATGCTTATCTTAACATACTAAGAAGGTTAGGTAAGGTCGGTGTTTTCTATGACGCTTTTCAAGGTAAACTAGTATGTTTAGTATGTCACATATGCACGTATTTAATAAGTCAATATTGACAGAAGAAAGTGCGAGAACGGGTTGCCCTGCCAGGGTGCTATTGTTCAGGAACCAGATGTTGAGTTCGCTGGTCAACTTGCTTGTGACCTCTTTAGCTGCCATGCAAAAAAGGAAAGGGGCAAGTGGGTCTCCCTGCTGGACACCTTCTGCGGAAACAACTTCATGTTCCCCAAACAAGTGTCGATTCCCTACTGTACCCTGCTGAAACGAAGGGAAGTAGAGAAGGAAAGCTTGTTCCAACTGCTTCCAATACCACACCCCTTTTTTCTGGATAAAAGCATTTTTAAAGTCTAGTTTAATTAATGCCTTATTTTCCTGGAGGTGCTTAATATAGGCTCGTGTAGCATGAGCTGCTGCTTCACAGCCATGGGGGACACCAAAACCTAGTTGATGGGGTTGAGGCATCATTGCAGCTTCCGTGCGAATGTTTCTGACAGCTGGCCTGGCAACAAGGAGCCGAAGTGTGTTACCCACGGCAATGGGTCTGACTCCACCATCCTTCCTCTTAAGAGCACAGAGGGATGCTCCGGATATATCTATATAAATAAAAATGTAAACGTTCGTTTGTTCAAAATCGCTAATCTCCGAAAGTTCTTCACCGATTGCTTTGAAATTTTGACACAACGTTCCAATCGCATCCGAGCAGGTTTACATATACATAGTACGCAGATGTCACGTTTGTGATGGAAAAAAAACATGTTTTTTTTTTAACTGAGTTTTTCATGTGATTTTCATGTGAGGGAAATCATCGAAACCTCTTTACCGATTGCTTTGAAATTTTGACACAACGTTCCATTTGAATGTGTATGTGTTTGTATATACATACTATATACATAATGTTTGCCTGAAACGCTACGCGTATTAGTGGTTTTAGATATAGTATGTACTAGCTCTATCTATAAATCCAACATTATGTTTGTAACTCATCTTCAATGTATGTACCTATAACTCAATAAAAAATCTAATCTAATCTAATCTAATCTAATCTAAATATAGATGCCACACCTGTGACAGGTAAAAACATGTTTTTTTTTTTTTAAACATCACCATCTGTTGCACATAGGAGCAACACACACTATACTAAATATGCTATGATTCCATTTCAATGTTTCCGATTGTACTGATAAATGGAATTTTCATAGATTTAGGTTTATTTTCATTTTGATTTCATTATTTTGTGTGACATTGCGTTGGAATTGAGCTGTGTTGTTTACTGTACCGTTCATTTCGTGAGTATAGTTTATTTTTTATTTTTTCATTGTTTTTCATTTCGTTTCTTTAATTGTTGTTCTTATTTTTCTGTGATGGGAACATCAGATCATTTGACGTTCCCATTTTCTGATGGGAACATCAGATCATTTGATGTTCCCATTTTCTGATGGGAACATCAGATCATTTGACAATGCATCAGATGAGGGAGTGGGAGATGGTGGGTAGGACGAGGAGACGGGGGAGTGGAGGATGGTGGGGAGGCCGAGGGGATGGGGGAGTGGAGAATGGTGGCGAGGACAAAGGGACAGGGGAGGGGGTAATGATGGGGAGGATGCGGGGACAGGGAAGGGTTGCTGTGGCTCAGCAACGCACATATTATATAATATATATATATATATATATATATATATATATATATATATATATATATATATATATATATATATATATATATATATATATATATATATATATATATATATATATATATATATATATATATATATATATATATATATATATATATATCCTTCATTATTAATTTCCTTATCTTTTTTGTTTTAATATAATTTCCTTGATGACTGTTATCCTGTACTCCTAATATTTCCTATTGTATTTTTCTACAACTCTTTTCGCTGTTTTCTTTTTCTATTTTCTTTTTAATTCTTCCCTGCTCTCCTCAACGCTGCTTTCCCTTCAAATTTTATAGGTCCTTTTTCCTTCTGCATCATCACCTCCGTCTGCGTCAGCTACGTCTGCGTCAGCTACGTCTGCGTCAGCTACGTCTGCGTCAGCTACGTCTGCGTCATCACTTCCGTCTGCGTCATCACCTGCGTCTGCATCAGCTACACCTGCGTCATGACTTCCAACAGCGTCATCATCTTAAATCGGCGCCGTCACCTTCGTCAGGACCACCCCCCCCCCCCACCGTTAGCGGCACCCCGCCCTTGCTCGGGTCCTCGTAGCGGTCTAGACGACGGGCGGGGAACCGGACGCGCTGACTGAACACTCATTACGAAACCTGACTATGCAAAAACGGGAGCGGGCGACCTAGTCTTCCAGTGGGGAAAGCAGCCATCTCGCGGGCGTCGCAGCCATCTCACGGGCGTCGCAGCCATCTCACGGGCGTCGCAGCCATCTCACGGGCGTCGCAGCCATCTCACGGGCGTCGCAGCCATCTCACGGGCGTCGCAGCCATCTCACGGGCGTCGCAGCCATCTCACGGGCGTCGCAGCCATCTCACGGGCGTCGCAGCCATCTCACGGGCGTCGCAGCCATCTCACGGGCGTCGCAGCCATCTCACGGGCGTCGCAGCCATCTCACGGGCGTCGCAGCCATCTCACGGGCGTCGCAGCCATCTCGCGGGCGTCGCAGCCATCTCGCGGGCGTCGCAGCCATCTCACGGGCGTCGCAGCCATCTCGCGGGCGTCGCAGCCATCTCGTGGGCGTCGCAGCCATCTCACGGGCGTCGCAGCCATCTCACGGGCGTCGCAGCCATCTCGTGGGCGTCGCAGCCATCTCGTGGGCGTCGCAGCCATCTCACGGGCGTCGCAGCCATCTCGCGGGCGTCGCAGCCATCTCGCGGGCGTCGCAGCCATCTCGCGGGCGTCGCAGCCATCTCACGGGCGTCGCAGCCATCTCACAGGCGTCGCAGCCATCTCGCGGGCGTCGCAGCCATCTCACGGGCGTCGCAGCCATCTCGTGGGCGTCGCAGCCATCTCACGGGCGTCGCAGCCATCTCGTGGGCGTCGCAGCCATCTCACTGGCGTCGCAGCCATCTCGTGGGCGTCGCAGCCATCTCACGGGCGTCGCAGCCATCTCACGGGCGTCGCAGCCATCTCACGGGCGTCGCAGCCATCTCACGGGCGTCGCAGCCATCTCGTGGGCGTCGCAGCCATCTCACGGGCGTCGCAGCCATCTCGCGGGCGTCGCAGCCATCTCGCGGGCGTCGCAGCCATCTCACGGGCGTCGCAGCCATCTCGCGGGCGTCGCAGCCATCTCGCGGGCGTCGCAGCCATCTCACGGGCGTCGCAGCCATCTCGCGGGCGTCGCAGCCATCTCACGGGCGTCGCAGCCATCTCACGGGCGTCGCAGCCATCTCGTGGGCGTCGCAGCCATCTCACGGGCGTCGCAGCCA